GGGGGGGGGGGGGGGGCAAAGAAAAAAAGTGGGAAGAAGAAAGGAGAGAAGCCCTAGAGAATAATGTGTGTATTCTATTAATCAAAGTTGGTCCAATACCATGAAAAACAACTCATAGTTAGACCAAAAATCCTCAACAAACTATGGAATTATTTATTAATAATTTTAAGAAAAATTGATCCTAAATAATTGCAAAAAAAACTTATATTTTTATCTATAGAAAGTCTTTCATTAATAGTCTTCCAAAAAAATTCTAAATATTTTCATCAAATCCCTATTTAAGAAAAATAGAATATGGTAAGGTAAATTGCAACCTCTTATCTAAGAGGGACGATTACATAGTTTTTTGACATTATTGATTCGATTTACTTTTGGCAATCTTTTTCCTGGACACATTCAAGTATCATATTGAATCAATAAATTAATTTTGAGTGAGCCATCAATATAGCACATTATAACACCAAACAAAACTTTAATCCCATCAAAGTTTCAATCTGTGTTGATGGTTTTTCTGTAATTCAAATTCTATTTTTTTGACAGTCCAACACAACCTGCATTTTTAAGTGTTGTAACCATGAGATTATAACAAGGCCAGCTCTCACTTTTTCGATATTTTGAACAATGAGACTTTTTATGATTGGGTAATCTACAGTGCAACGTAATGGGAGAACCTTGTTTCATTATACATAGTTCTTGGATACCAACAACAACATCATTTCAAAGTAAATACACGCAATAACAAGGAGAAAATCTCACTAAACAAGTGTGTAGTGCCTAGAAAAATGGAGAGGAATCTAGACGATCAGCTCCAGCCAAAACATAGCTCTCTTTCCCAGGAACCACATACTAAAATTTCAATTTAATTGAACCATAAATGAACCTCCAATCTTTAGTGAGAAAAAGTTGAAACCCATCTCTCTCTCTCTCTCTCTCTCTCTCGGTCACTCTCTGTTTTTAGAAGAAGGAATGGTATATCCGTTTTTGTCTTTGTTTTGGGGCTTTTTAATTAGTTTTGGGGAAAAAGTGGAAATTGCCCCACTTCCACAAATTGTAACTTCCCTCACGTGGAGGGAACTCCCAACAAATCTCCCCTTCCCGACTGTATGAGGGACTCTACAAAGCCCGCTTTCCTTCTACATACTAGTAGTTTCTTCATAGGCAATGGTTTTGTCATCATATCTGAACCATTCTCATCATCTCAAGCCGTAACTTCTTTATCTCCAAAGCATCATGAATCCAATGATACCTCACTTCAATATGTTTGGATCTTGAGTGGAAGGTTATATTTTTACTGAGATGAATAACACTCCGACTGTTGTAATAGAGTATAAACTTCTCTTGCTCTAAGCCCAATTCTTGTAAGAATTTCTTCATCTATAGCAACTCCTTGCTAGCTTCAGTGATGGTTGTATACTCAGCTTTTGTGGTCGATAAAGCAACACATTTCTATAATTTTGATTGCCATGAAATTGCTCTCCCCTAAAAAAGTGATTAGATACCAAAAGTAGACTTTCTAGAGTCAACATCCCAGCCATATCTGCATCTGTGAACCCAACAAGCTCACATTTGCTGGTACCAAAACATAAACAAATCTTAGAAGTCTCCCTGAGATTCCTGAGAATCCACTACACTGCTGTCCAGTGTTCCTTTCCAGAACTAGAAAATAATCTGCTAACAACTCCAATAGAATGAGCAATATTTGGCCATGTACATACCATAGTATACCTCAAGCTACCCATGACTAATACATAAGGTACATTCTTCATTTCTTCCTTTTCTTTCTCACTTGAAGGACTTTGCTTTGAACTCAACTTCAAATGACTTGCAAGTGGAGAGCTTACTGGTGTTGCCTTGTCCATATTGAACATGTGTAATATCTTCTTGATATAACCTTCCTATGATAGCCATAATTTTCCATTCTTCCTATTATGAGAGATTTTTCTACTGAGAATTTGATTTGTAGGTCCCAAGTCCTTCATCTCAAAGGACTTACTCAATTCATTTTTCGACTTCTTAATTTTTTCAATGTCACGACCAACAATCAACACGTCGTCTACATAGAGCAAAAGAATAATAAATTCCCCATTAGAGAATTTCTTTATAAACACACAATGATCAGAAGTTGTTCTGGTATATCTATGCCCAACCATGAAGAAATCAATTTTTTGTACCATTATCTTGGTGCCTGCTTGAGACCATACAAGCTTTTCTTCAATCGACATACAAGATTTTCTTTGCCTTTAGTGTAAATCCTTCTGGTTGCTCCATATATACTTTCTCCTCAAGGTCACCATAGAGGAAAGCGATCTTTAAATCAAGTTGTTCAATTTTCAAATTCATATTGGCTGCCAAGCCTTAACACAACTCAAATTGAATACATTTTAACCATAGGTAAGAAGATTTCTTCAAAATCAATACCTTTCTTTTGACCAAACCCATTCACAACCAACCTTGCCTTGTACCTTGGCTGTAAGCTATTTGGTTCAACCTTTAGTCTGAACACCCCTTTGTTCTTCAGTGCTTTCTTGCCCTTAGGTAGTTCCATCAGATCATGAGTATGGTTCTTATGCAAGGATTTCATCTCTTCTTGCATAGCTTTTAACCACTCAATTTTTTGATTATATTGTAGAACCTCCTGATGACGTTTTGGTCCCCCCATTAGAAAGTAACACATACTCATTACTAGAATGCCTTTTGGAAGGCTGACGCTCTCTAGTAGATCTTCTCAACTCTACTTCAACTGGCACCTCAAAAGGAGTTTCCTCTTGATTTTGATTTGGTTCTGCATCACTCTGTGTAGTGGCTTTATTATGTCTATCATGTTCTTTTGCACACTTTCTCTATGCTCATCATGCACTACAGGGTCTGGTACATATGGAACTGAACTGGTTTGCTCTTTGTTGTCGATTTTATCCCGCAAGTGGATTGATCGTAATAAGTAGTAGAGTGGATCTCTTGAGTCCAGATTATCGTTCCCACGAGGACTATATTTTAGTACTCAATTTATTATTCCTAACTTTTATTAAAAAAAAAAAAAGATTAGATGTGATTTTTAAATCTAACAACCAAAATTTTCGTGAATGCAATAGAAAATGAGCGGGAATTCAATTAATAAATGGAGATCAGGGTGGAACAAATTCACCTATTGGTCACCTTTATTTCTAATATCGAGATAAATACTTGCAATATTTCCCTCCAATCTTTCATCTTTTCCTAGTAATGCACTTTAATCCTTCAACTCCTATAGTGTAGACATTGATATCCAAACTTTGCATCCAATAGCCCATTTCGTCCTTGTACTTTGGACTTCGTCATTTTTCGCCCATTTTTGCTTCATTCCTTCAATGTCTTTTTCTTCATAAAATTTCATCTATTAAACATAAAATACAAAAAATTAGGATATAATTTGTTAAAAGAACCATCAAATATCGCTATTTAAAATACCAATAAGTGTATAAAATACACTTTTCAAATACCCCCAAACTCAAACATTTGTTTGTCCTCAAACAAAATTATAATCTAAATAGTAATAGACACACAATCATGCAAAAATATTTGGTTGGACGGTTAAGCTTTTTACCTCATGATTCAAAATATTAGTGTTTACTCTATAAACATGCTTCAAAGTCACAGTATCAAACTAATATCCACTCTTCCAATACAAAAATTGATGTGTGTGTATGAAGAATGGAGTAATCAACAATGACTGCACAGGTTGTTTCAATCCCTGACCCTTAATGGTCGTATATGTCCCTTCATCACTCTTATGATTCACATACCCCCAAACTTATTCTTTTTCACTCATTTTCAGTGTGTAATCTAAGGCTGAATATTTCATTACTATCATTACCCTCTTGAGTTTAGGTGGAAGTTACTAGTTGAAAGTCAACACTTCAATGAACGAGGATTCTCCAATTATTTGATTGCTTCGACCCCAAAACTCAACTATCTAATTATCTTGCATCAAATGTTAAATTTCCTCAAATAAGTGTTAGGGCTTAACCAAGGTATTTAGTACTTTTGCTCTTTTCATGCAATTGCTTTTTCTGTTTTTCACTAGTATTTTTTTTATATTCTCTTCATAAAACTTTCTAAATGACCCATGTAACAGGCTTTAGGTCGATGACTCCCAAACCAGATGATTTTAGGGCACCAGATTTTTAAATACCTTTACAGGCTTACTGACCTGAGCAAAAAAGGCTTCGAAGAGAACAATTTTTTTAAGTGCAACATTGTCGCTAATTGCTTTCTAAATGACCTTTGTAACAAGCTTTAGGCCGTTGACTCCCAAGTCAGACCACTTTAGGGCACCAGATTTTAAGATACCTTCATAAACTTAATCATTCGAGTCATAACGGTTTCAGAGAGAAGTTAAAATTTTTCAAATGTATATTCCTCGATTAGTGCAATGACCCTTATCACACACTTATTCAAACAAATTGACCTCTAACTTAAGACTTTCGCAGAGTTTTATTATGTTAATCTAAGACAATCCACACATAAATTTTCATACATGGAATCCACATTCACATCCACATCTTCCTACAATTGTAAAATTACCTCCAAACTGTGCTAAATTTGGTCTAAGGATAGATAATTTATTATAGTTTATGTAAAGCATCTATGTCCAACTAGATCAACCTATCAAAAGAAAGAAACAACTCATTTAATCATAATGTCAAACTCAATTCTAGTGCGCTTGTAATATCAAATTTTGCAAGGTTGAGCTTCAATTAGTCTAGCATGCATCCTATCCATAGTTTATAAATCAACACCAAATCTCAAATTAAATCATCATTGTCTGCACAAGCACACAACTGAACAAAAGAGTTTTTTTTTTTTTTAATTTTTTGATTTTTTGATTTTTTTAAACAAATACACAAAAATATAAAAACATACAAAAAAATAAAAAAAAATAAAAACTAAAAGTTTTTTCACCTCCAAACTTAAAATTGACATTGTTCTCAATGTCATAAAGCATAAATAAGCACATAAAGGGGGTAGGGAAGAAAAAGAAGAAGGTACTCCCCAAAATTTTTTTGTTGAATGTGTGAGGCACTATGTGTGACGGTTGGATAATATTCTTCATCATCCTCTCCCTTGGATCTATGTTAGTTTGAGTGTTTCACGACGTCATATTCCTAAAAAATCAAATTTGACAAATTAAATACAGGGAACTAGGGTTACTTAGCTCAGACAATCTAAATAACCAATAATAAATTCAAGGGCCTGAGGGCAGAGGGGATAGGGGTGATGACTCCTAAAAATTGAAGCGTGCCTAAATCTAATGCAACATAGTAAGCAAAACAAAACTATATGCTATGCGATACGAAAAGCAAAATAAAAAGTTTAAAAATTGGGTCGCCTCCTAATAAGCGCTTCTTTAAAGTTATCAGCTGGACTTTGTTCCGTGATTATTCTGGTACAGCTAGGTCAAGTCTCTCTTTAGCGGTGGGAAAATATTCCACGTAGTGCTTGATACGTTGGCCATTTATTTTGAAGTTTCCTTTTGTTGGATGGTGTAATTCAACCGTGCCGCAGAGAAACACCTGAAAGACCATAAAAAGGTCGGACCATCTAGATTTCAACTTTCCTGGAAACAGTTTAAGTTTGGAATTGTATAAAAGTACTTGATCTCCCACTCTAAAAATTCTTTGCCTGATGTTCTTGTCATGCTATTGCTTCGTCATTTCCTTGTAAATGACTGCATTTTCATATGCTTCTCTTTTGAATTCTTCCAATTCATGTACCTACAGTATTCATGTTTCTTCAGCCTTTTCGAGGTCTATGTTTAACTGCTTCAATGCCTAGTATGCTCTATGTTCAAACTCCATTGGTAGGTGACATGCTTTTCCAAAGGCTAGTCGATATGGAGACATCCCAATAGGTATCTTGTAAGCAATGCAATATGCCAATAAAGCATCGTCTAATTTCTTTGACCAATCCTTGCGAGATGCATTCACATTGAGCTCCAGAATTCTTTTCAATTGTCTATTCGAGGTTTCCACTTGTCCACTGGTCTGAGGGTGGTAAGGAGTGGTAATTCGATGTTGTACCCCGTACTTATGTAGCATTGCCTGGAATAACCGATTGCCAAAGTAAGTTTCACCATCACTTATTATGACCCTAGGTGATCCATAGTGGTTAAAGATGTGTTTCTTTATGAAGTCCACCACCACCCTTGCGTTATTTGCAGGCGATGCTTTAGCTTCTACCCATTTAGGGATATACTCCACTGCTACTAGGATGTATCTATTGTTATAAGATGATGGAAAGGGACCCATAAAATCAACCCCCTAGACATCAAATATCTCCACCTCCAGAATGTTGTTAAGTGGCATCTCGTGACGTGCTGATATGTTACCTGTTCTCTGACACTTATCACATGACCTGTAGAAACTGTGGCAGTTCTTGAATAGTGTAGGCCAAAAGAAACCATATTGAATCACCTTTGTTGCTATTTTAGTCGGGCCAAAGTGTATTCCATAAGCTGAAGCATGAACTCGTGAAAGGATAGGTTTCATCTCATCCTTTGGCACACATCTCCTAATGATCTGGTCTGCTCCTCTCCTGTATAAATTTGGATCATCCCAATAATAGAATTTTGCTTTATGAAACAGCTTCTTCTTCTGCTGATAGGTGATATAAGGATCTATATAGTCACTAGCTAAGTAATTAACAATGTCTGCATACCATGGAGCCTTTTCTATCTGCAATAACTGTTCATCTGGAAAGACCTCATTAATATCCACATCATCTGAATCAAGCAGTTGCTCCAGCCTTAATAAATGATCCGCTACTTGATTTTCTGTACCCTTTTTGTCATGAATTTCAATGTCAAACTCTTGCAGTAACAGAA